TGGAACGCCGACGTCCCCGCGGCCGTTCGTGCCGCTCTGGGAGAGAGCACCCTAAAGAGGAATGGAGCCAGCGACACAGCCCCCAACGGTGGAGCCCTTAATGGGAATGGGGCCGCTGACCTGGGAGTCGCAGAAGAGGCGGTCGGCGCAGCGTCGCAGTCCGTGACCAGTCCACCGCTGTCCGCTGCTGGCAAGAAGTCGCGCAGTCTGGCGCAACTGACACCCATCCGTGAGGAGGAGGGCGCGGGTACCTCGGGCAGCGGCAGGACCCCCGAAGTGGGGCGCGAGGCTCCGCAACCGCAGACCGCGAGCCCGGCTTTGCTCCGGCGGTCGCGGGGCCGCCGAGCGCGTGTGTTCGCCGAGTCGCCCGCAGAGCCGACCCCGGTGTGGGCGCCAGGGTCGGCGCCGATACCTGTAGTCCCCGCGTTCGAGTCCGCGTCCTGTCGTCGGGGGTCCGCGCCCGGGCCGGTGCCGCCTGGCGGTCTCAAGAGTGCCAGGGAACCGCAGTTCAGGGAACCGCAGTTCAGGGAACCGCAGTTCGGAGAGCTGCAGATCGAGGAGTCGCGGTCTGCCAGTCCGTTCCAAAAAGTTGTGGTTGCGATCGCCTCAGAGAGAACTGCCACCGAAGCCCGAGACGACACGTTGAGCGAAGCACGCACGGCAACTGTTTGGGTGGCTAGCGCGGAGGAGCGTAGCGACAGCACAGAGTGCCGGGTACTGATTGAGAGCGAACCCGAAGCCCCGGACCACGAAGCTCCCGACCATGAAGCTGAACGCGGGCAGACACCACTCCCGCGGAAGACTTCCCGCGTCCAAGACCTGATTGAGTCCTTCGAACGCCACACGTCGCCGCACGACACCTCCGTCCCGCTCCGCCACGACGGCGTCAACCCGAACGGCCGCGGCGTCCCGGCACGTCGTTCGCTGAAACATGACGATACGCCCCTGCGTGGCACCTCGTGGCGTCTCGGCCCCCTTGGTCTTGGCCCGGCTCCCGCTGGCGGCCCCGTGGCTCTCGGTTTCACTCCGCACGTGGCGGGTCCAAATGCCGAGTCGGGCCGTTTCGTGCGCCGGCGGCGTTCGTTGTCACCCCTTGGACCGCGGTCAGTCAAAACAGACCCGCGTTCGGTAGACCCGCGTTCGGTGGACCCGCGTTCGGTAGACCCGCGTTCGGTGGACCCGCGTTCGGTAGACCCGCGTTCGGCAGACCCGCGATTGGCAAATCGGCGATTGGCAAATCCGCGGGAATCGTTCGAGTGGGGCAACTCGCAGAAACGGAAACGCCATTCGCCTCGTGGAGCGCTGCAACCCGCGGGGAAGGAGAGGCGTCACGCAGGTTGGAGAGAGCACTTTGCTCCGGCAGATCGCGAACCACTATCGTTGGAGAAACCCGGTCTCAAACGTGAGTCTCTCGGGCCACGCCTGCGACGCCGGAACACGGTGGATGCCGCTAGTGACCTGCCGCCCGTCTGGTCGACCCGAGATCTCCAGCGCCGAGAGGCCAGGTCGCGACCTGAAGGGGTGAGACTGCTACCGGAAGAGAGGTTGGCCGTCTCCTACGACGACGATGATGGTTGCCAGGGTGTCGGCCACGACGTTGTGGAAAAGGCAGAGGATTTTGCACTCCGTGGCTACGGCCCGGCTGATGGTCAACTCGTTGACGGGGATGGGGAGCTGGTTGACGGTCAACTGATTGACGGTCAACTGGTTGAGGGTCAACTGGTTGACGGTCAACTGGTTGACGGTCAACTGGTTGAGCGACGCGACTTTGTTGCGGTTGGTGGGGAGGTCGGTCGTGGTAGGAAGAGAGGTCATGGCGGAGACGATCCGGGTAGCAGTCGATCTGCATCACCGCAGGAGGAGTCTTACCCGATCATGCCGCGCACCTTGCACTACTCCAGTGCCGACTGGTACCCGACGCTTCGCAGCAACCCCGTTGCCCAATTCTTCGGTCCCGTGGCCACCACAGTCGACGCCTTGCCCGCCAGGAAGCGCCAGCGAGAGGAGGCCTTGCTGGAACGAGACATTCGCCTCCTTCAGGAGCAAATGCACATGGCCGCCAGACAATGGCGCATGTGCGAAGCGGCTCTAGACTCTATGACTGCCAGACTCGAGTCGCTCAGAGGAGGCAACCTACCCCCGCCACCATACCCATAAATCTGCGTTCAGTCGTGCGTTAGGAAAAAGGATCAACCTAGATAGAGACCTAGTTAGCCCTGTACAGATATGGACCTGTGCAAGAACACAATAACACCGCCCTCGTGGACCATCCTCGTAGCACACACGTGTGTGCTCGTTGCTCAAAGAACGCACACACTAAAGCGTTGCACGACACGGAACGTCGAGTCGGTCTGATGTGGTGGTTTATGCTGCGGCCGAAACATGAGAGCTATTCGCGTCAGCCCCGGCGAGATTCTGCCCTTATTCGGTTTCGTTTTCTCTGAGCGTTTTCAAATGGGATGCGTGGTGACAAAGATTCGCTCGTTGACAAAGACCGGCACGTTGGCAAAGCTCGTGCGTTGCCACAGCCTGTGTGGTGACTACAACCACCTTGACCATGCTCCACAGGTCGCGCGCGGTCGCGTTCTGTATGTCGCGCGCGGTCGCGTTCTGTATGTCGCACGCGGTCGCGTTCTGTATGTCGCGCGCGGTCGCGTTCTGTATGTCGCGCGCGGTCGCGTTCTGTATGTCGCGCGCGGTCTTCTTAGTCTAGATGATGCGACAGAGTTTGAGGATAACTAGAGTGACTACGAGGAGCATTCCAATTTGCCAGAGTTCGAACTGACTACCGGGTATCCTCTTATCATGAGAGGCATGTCGTACAGCAGGGAGTCCATCTCGTTCGGCCGTTAGTTCTCTATTCTGGCGTTCAAGGGTAATAGCGATGGTCAAAAGTTCTTCATAAGCAATTTTAAGTCCGGAGTAATCGTTAGGTAACGGTTTAGCGGCAAGAACACTAACATTATTACTTACTGGCGGTGCCCCTATCGAGTTGTCTAAACGTGCTGTCCAAACAATATTGACGTTAAGCTTCTTCTCTTCAAGCTTATCCTTCCGAATTGTTGACCATTCCTCCTTGCTTAGCGGTACGGCGCTTGCAATAAACGTCGACTGTATAAGGAACCTGTCTGCCGAAGTAGTATGCTGCTGCTTTTCAAACTGTGGCATTAATAATATACTTATCGACTGAGTCTGGCGTCCCTCAATTACACCGCTAGACGGCTTCACAAGATACGATTTTGGCGCCGTAGTCTTAATTTTAAATGCAGCAACTCGATCATGAGGATTCTCCAACCTCAACGTCACCTGACTCTGGGCACCTGATTGAGCCTACAAACAAACCAACCATCTCTCTCCCAATGCCACCCAACGGCGCCCAATCGCGCCCAATGCCGCCCAATGGTCATAGGTCACTCAATGGTCGTAGTGTGAACGCTCAAAGTGCGTATCCTGCGAATAGTCATAGTGCAGTTGCCGGCCAAACCGTCTGCAAACCGCCGCATGTGCGCGCAAACGCGTGTGCGCGCAAACGCGTGCGCGCGCAAACGCGTGTGTAACGCCCTCCTAACTCCTAGCGTCGAACTCCTTACCTCGAACTCAAGTGTTTTATCAGGATAGAACACCAAGGCAGGCTTATCCATATTCAAAAAAATAAATACCTACCTTCGTGCACGTCCCCATAACGCGACGCTATGCAAATCTTTCCCCCATGAGCACAGTCAAACAAGCCCTTCCTACTATCGTAGTCACTCAGGTACCAGCCCTTCCACGGTATTTGTCCACGGTATTTGTCATCACGGTGGTTGTCATCACGGTGGTTGTCATCACGGTTTATAATAATGGCACATGGTTGTAGAGTGAGTTGGACCATTTCGCCTTGCGTCGTTATCGACGCAGGCAGTTCATGTTTCAGCAACAGATATTCGAGCACTACATGAGACCGAGCAATGCATTCCGAAGGTATAATGGTTGCAGATTCGTAGCTGTATTAGGTGCCGCTTTGATTTTGACGGGTCTGTTGATACGTAACATGTCTCAGAGCACGTTGGTGATGGCTGAATACAGAGTTGGTCAGTCAGAGGTTATTTTCAACGTATCCAAGCAGTTACAGGGTCCATTCGGAGTCTATGTTTATTTGAATAACTTTTATTCCAACGTTCGGCAGTACATTGATGCAAATCCAGAGTACTTCTCGGCTGATCACACATGCGAATCGGTAACCACGGCGGCTGAAGTCTGGGACATCCGTTCCAAAGAATCCTTTCCCGAATTCAGCAATTCAACCAACCCGGAAGCCCCCTTCTACCCCTGCGGCCGACAGTCGGCTACTTTCTTCAATGACTACTTCTCGATACATCAATTAGTGTGTCGCGAAGAATACTGTCCCTCAGGGCCTGGATCTCCGTCGGCCAAGAAAGCATCTCCGTCGGCCAAGAAAGCATCACCTGACGGGGTATCATCTGAGGGGGTATCACCCGAGGGGGTGTCACCCGACGGAGTGTCACCCGAGGGGGTGTCACCCGACGGGGTGTCACCCGACGGAGTGTCACCCGACGGGGTGTCACCCGACGGGGTGGCACTTGACCACTGGCAACTAGGAACTGAGGTTGCTGGTGAGGCTGTGTCTGCTAGGAAAGTTTATGCACCAGACGGCGAACGGGAGGTCTACCTTGTTAGCAGCAGCGAGCAGCCCGCATCTGAGCCCAGTGAAACTGGACTTGACGACGAGCTAACTGGACTTGGTGACGAGTACAGTCAGATTGGTGGTGCGGGGCTGGGGAGAACTGGGCTTAAAGCTGTAGACGGAGATCTGACGTGCTGCATCAAAGGTGAAGAGGAAGTCATGATAACCGACCAGATCGCCCCAACGCAGTGGTTCCCTTTGTTTAGTGTCCAGCCAAGAAAAGACCAATGGACTGACATCATTACCAACAACAGACTGCAAGCTTGGTACTACAAACCCTTCCTGAATAATCGAGCCGTGCTGCTAGGCATTCTTTCAAATTACTATCTCTCACCTGCCAACTACCTTATCACGTTCACCCAAAACGTGTGGCCTGCTCACACATTCAGGACCAGGAAACAAATCGCTGTTGCTACCTTCGGACCACTTGGCAGCGAACAAAGCTTCCTTTCCGCCTTGGCCATCTCCTGGGGATGCGGATGCTTACTCATTGCCGTCATTTTCCACTGGGCCGTCCGAAGAAACATTGTCTTCCAAACGGGAACGAGTAGGCCCTCTCTCTTTCACACACGCACACACGCCTCCTCTTCCCGCCACATACAATTCTGCTTCAGTGGCAGATGTCCCTCCGGAGGACATCCAGAACCAGTGGATTCAACATGCTAAGGCTTGGAGGAATTATTAACAACAAAGTCCGTAACAGCAAAATATGCGGGCAGCACACCTCGTGCCGGGTAGTCAGTCATCTGGGACGCCACCCGGGTAATGATCAGAGTAACGGTGTTCTTGTCCATGTTTGTGCAGTACAAGGCGAGTCAGACACGAAGGATAAGGCCTTGTCAAAGGTGGGTGGGTCCCTGTCAAGGGCAAGTCCCTGTCAAGGGCAAGTCCCTGTCAAGGGCAAGTCCCTATAAGGATAGTTCTTATGCAGGATAGTCCCTGTAGAGGGTGAGTCCAAGCGAGCAGCCGAATGGTGGTCGGCGTCGCGTCAGCCTGACCAGCCCCGGAAGCGTCGACAGCCCAGTCTGTAGGGTGAGTGAGTCACTGGCTGTAGGGTGAGTGAGTCACTGTCTGTAGGGTGATTTAGTCACTGTCTGTAGGGTGAGTGAGTCACTGTCTGTAGAAGGGTCTTGCATTACAGCAGGCGGCGTTGGGTAGTGGTGGGGAGAGGCTGACGTCGAAGACGCCGCGATCTCGGCGACTAGCGACAATTTGCGGCGCAGGGAGCATTTTTTGTTGGCACTCGTGGCACAGTGGCGCATCACAGCGGCGGCAGCGGGTACGTGACCGTGACCGAGGGGCCGAGCGGGATCGAGGTCCCGAGCGGTGGGAAGAGACACGGGAGCTGAAGGGTGAAAGGAAGGGTGGTCGCGAGATCGAACGACGACGGCGCGACTTCCGACGGCCAGTACCAGAATGCGAAGACAGACGTGACGCCGATGCCGATCGAGACGAAGGCCTTCTCTCACCACCACCGAACGGACTTCGGCTGTGACTAGAATTTTTTAGTTTTATCGTCACCTTAATCACGCCGCCGTTCTTCCCGCTTTTTCGCCGCAGTGGAATCTCGCCATGGTACTTCCCGTCACCGTCCAGGTCACGCAAACTCAACTCGCCGTAACCGATTAGCGAATCAATTCTAAAACAAAATATACACACTTAGCACACACTTAGCACACACTTAGAACACACTTATTACAAAGGCACACATATTAGTACTTACTCTTTCCCCTCGCGGTCGAGGAGCGTTACGGTGATTTTGTCTACACCTTCCCGGAGTCGGAACGTGAAGGTGTGTTCAAAACGGTGAGGGTGATTATGGCCTCCTTTCACAGCCGTCGCTTGGTACTTAGAGTTGCCCACTTGGACAATACAATACGGGGTCTGCAAAAGACGCGGTTCTGACATGGGTATGATATTACCAGTGAGCGCAGCAGGCCACCGCCTTTAAGACCGCGTGCTTCATGCACAGTTATCTGCAGCTTCGGTCTACTACAATGGTGGCGCATCCTTTTCCTCCACCCGTCCCAAACACATGGAGTCACGACCAGGCCGGGGAGTTAGAGTCCTTCAAGATACGGTCCATACCAAACGCAGACAACCGGCGGATGTCTCCGTACAGAAAACCAGTGCGCCCTCTAACACCGAAATCGACAACAACTTGCTCCTCCTGGAAAAGGTCAGACTCCGACTTCAGAAACTTTACCAAGAATTGGAACGGTAGAAACACCTTCTGTCCATCGATCGATGGAACACCTTCTGTCCATCGATCGATGGAACACCACCAGTCTTGACACTGGTGAATGACAGGGTGGTTGAAGTAGAAGACAGGTAGGTGGTTGAGATAGGTGGGGAACAAAAAAGGAGCGTTGCGAAACGGCTAACAGCAACTCCGTTTCAAGGTGGCATTTTGGAACCGACAGTGGACGAGGCTGTCGTTATCAATCAACCATATAAAGGTGTTATCTCTTCTTTGGCCAATGTCCTTGGATACGTCAATGAATTGAAAGAGCAACATCTGGTCTTGAAGCTGCTCAGGAATGTCTTCCGTATCTGCGTCTTGGTTCCCATATATAGGCCACCCTCCGATACGGCACTTTAAAAGTGCATTCTTATATCCCTTTATCCTGCCAACCAAATAATGAGGGACCATTTGGTGATGTAACGACAATGATACTTTATAAGACTTGGTGTATGTGACAGGAAAACAACTCTTCTTCATCGGCAAATAGGGCCTAGTTATATCAGGAGCATTAGCCTTTTGGAAAACGATTGGCTCTCCGTTCTTAGTCACCTCAATAAACTCATACTTGATAACTTCTGACTTAGCTTCTGACTTAGCTTCTGACTTAGCTTCACCTCTCTCCTTTGGACTGATTTCATTTGGTCCCCCTTCTTTTGGACCATTTTCGTTTAGTTCACTTCCTCCATCCGGGACCCGTTTCCGCGGGTGTTGAATGTCGTTATAATAGAGAGGAAAGGACTGGTGTAATTGATGGGGAATTTTGATGATGTCTTCGTAGTATCTAAATTCCCAATCAGTACCATCTGCCAAACTTTTTAGTCCAAGCCATAGCTGTAACAATCCTTTCTTCGGGAAGTGTTCAAACCCTTGTGGGAACTCCGCGTGATCAGCAACCAGCTCCTCAAAGTTTACCTGCCATAATAGTCTCTTTGGGAGACCTATGGAATCAATAGGATAACATGTATCCAAAGGGATATACGGTGCTCCATTCAGTTTGCTTGACCACAATTCCATCTCCCCCTCTTCCACAAACTCCATTGCGGCACTGACCCGTTCAGTACGTCTCAAGTACTCAGTGTCATTCTCTGATAATGATTCTGGTAACGGACTATGGATTTCTATAGCCATAAACAACGGGCTAATATATAACATGCGGGCGACTACACCGAGACGAAATGACTGACGATGACGATCGAAAGCTACTAACCGATTGTCGATACGTACTAGCATTAGTTCGTCAGCCTGTGTTGCTAGATCGAGCCGTGGGTATGCGACGTAACTCTGAACTGATGTGTGCACCAAAACCCCAATCGCAAGTTCAGTCACAAGTTCAGTCACAAGTTCAGTCACAAGTTCAGTCACAAGTTCAGACACAAGTTCAGACACAAGACCAGTCACCGACGGAGAAGAAGAGCTCCCAGGAGAGGGAGAATGGGCGTCACCCTCGCAAGAAAAGGGACGCCACGGTCAGATGTGATGGGTACCGAAAGAGAGCGGAGTTGCTCAGTCTGATTCTTGACAGTATTCTACAGAAACGGCCTGTGCCCGTCATAATCAGAACAGGGACTATTTATGTACATGGCCTAGCGATTTCGGGGATTAGGAACTTCCTTGCTGATTTAATCCAATACAAACCCGGAGAAAGGTATGAGGATGGTAAAATGAACGATACCTTACAGCTAGGCTATATCCTCGACTTCTTGAAACACCATCCCCAAGAGGAAGATCGACCCCTAAGAGACCATGATATATTGGATGTGCTACTTGTGGCCGTGCTTCTTACATTGAAAGTTATCCCACGAACTAGCCAAGTGTTTCAATGTATGCAATCGATGTTTGTTTCCGCAGTAAATATTATGAAATCAACGAACACAAATTCTACACCAGACGGAAGTTGCTCTACTTATAATGCCGTGATTGAAGCAAGACGGGCGTGTCTGGAGCAATACCAGATTACGATTCACTTGGTGGCCGATGATCTTCTGTCAGCTTGGGATACCTCAGCAGACCTGATACATTATCCGACATTATCGCATTTATCGGACTGCCTTGGTATGTCATTAACCTTAAGACAGTTAGTCGATCATGATATGTTCGCTGAAACTCGAAGAAGAGCAATAGATCTATTGAAGAATACATCAGCAGATTTCTCTCTTCCAAAATTATTTCAAAAATCGCCAGAAATTCAATCAAAAAAGGACACTATCATCAATCTTGTATCATTTACCCCTCCCC